TGTCAAATATGTATTTGTCTACTTTATCATACCATATATGGGGTACTTCTTATTACATAGTTTCTTTGATAATATTCTTTCATTATTATTGTCGTTATTATATTTATTACTACCATATATGAGCATTGCATTTAGAGTTAGTAATAGTCAGATATTGTATGAATTGAAAAAAAATTATTTTTAAATTTGGAATTTCTTTTTTTCTTTTATTCTTTATGTTTATGATCTATTTAAATTCAAAATTATTTTTTTTACAAAGTCGTGTTTTTATACAAAATTGTGCTTTTGTTTTATTATCATCATCATCATCATTTGAGTAATGCATGTTTAATTTACTTAGGGCAAACCTTATAATATTTAAAAATCATTAGGGGCAGTTGCCCTCTAAGAACTTAACATATTCGCCAGTAGGTAGTATCACAGACTGTCACGAATCGCACCCACCTTTTGACATGAGAATACTAGAACTAGAAGAGAAAACGGTGTAAATTTTGAAAGGATGGAGAGTAACATTGCATATGCTGCATTTGTATAATAAACTCAAAGAAAGAATAACTAACTCAAAGAATGAAGGCATGTTTGGGAAACGACTGTTGAAGCTGCTTTTTTCTGATAAACTTAGTCATAAACATAAACCCGCCAATACACTTGTCACACAAGCTAAAAATACATTACCAATCATGACTATGTACATTATGTAATATACAATGTACAATGTCACATTAACACAGTGTGAACTCTTATTGAGAGAATAAAAACATAAAACTCCTATTTTTGTAATTTCTCTATTTCTTAGTCCTATATAAGGTGAGTTCTTTACCGACTATCTACTACGGAGTATTTCATTTGATATGCAATGTTACGTCGTACCAATCCAGATCCTAAAATAAGGATTTGGTATGGTTAAGGATGGTTCGATGTTGGTTTCGGTATAAATCACGATGAATACGTACATACCTAATTTACATTCTCAAATGTACCTTTTTTTGAAAAATTGAAAGAACATTTTAATGAAAAAACATAAAGATCTAAAAAATGAATAATTAAAGGCAAAAGTTACTTACGAAACTTACTTTATATTTGACAAACTAAAAAAGAGCGGATGATAACAAAATTTTATTTCAAATGATTGTAAATTCATCTTGAAAAAATAAAACTCGATTAAAAATATAAATTTACACACCATAGAACTTGAATTAATTTTTCAAAGTAAACTTCGAATTACCTAATAAAGAAATATAAAAAAAATTATTACTCCCTTCGTTCTAAAAAACACTTCCTCTTTCATGTTTTTCACTTCCAACAAAGCACTTCCATTTTATATTAAAAAATCACTTCTACCCTTACTTTTTCATATCATATCTATCACATCATACTTTTTCTCTAATAATCTATCCATCATATCTTACTTTTACTCATCACATCAAGGGCAAAATTGGAAGTCAACTACAATTTAACATGTACACTTTCTTATTTTTACATTTGGTCAAACTAGGAACACTATTTGAGAATGGAGGAAGTATATTTTAAAATATATTACGCCACAATATATATGTTCGCTTTGGAGTTTTCGATATGGGAAGTTATCTCGTATTGTTCCCAATCAAATGTCGAACTGACTATTCAGTTCGCTACGATTCAATATTTTGTGGTATTTTTTTGATTCAGTATTTTGTTGTTCGACTTTCTTGTTTTACCGAGTATTTGAGAAGTTTTAGGATTGATTTAGTACTTTCTCACCCTTAGTTGCCTTTTCCTTCAACTTATTCTTAATACTTACTAGTACTTTAACAAGTGTCTCACGAGGTTAAACGTAATTTTGTTCAATTTATACTTTTTTAAGGTTTTGTTCTTTTAAATTCTAACTCTTAAGATCTGTTTAGATCAGAGAAAAGTAATTTTCCTAAAAATTCAAATTCTACTTTTTTGTTCAATAGTGTGTAAGTGGTTGGAAATCATTTTTTATGAATTCTTTTTTTCAAACAAGAGAAAGTTTCTTTCAATTGTTCTAGATGAAAGTTTATTTTCCTAATCAATCTTCAAGTACTCTAATTTTTGTACTTGTCTTGCACCCACCCACATCCTCTCCTTTACCCGTCACCAGCCACCCCTTCCTCCTAGCCCCGCCCCCCACCACCCCTTCTCCCAAATTGTTGAAAATTTAGTTGTATAAAGAAGATTTAATATCAACCATGCACAAAACAAACCTGTATATGCTCCCAAAAATATTTTAAAATTATCCAAAACTATATTTGATTTTATTCAAATATCAACAATGTATTAATATAAAAATCTCTCTCTATGAAATTATAGAAAATTGTTTTGAAAAAAACTTCTTAACAAACAATAGAAAATGTGGGGGAGAAATATTTTTCGTGAAATTGTTTTCTTCTAGAATAATAGTCTAGAAATATATTTTCTCACAAGCAAATGCACCCTTAACTTTTAATATTTTCCAACTTTGTATGTTTCTTTCTAACACTTTATAGTTTTTTCTAATTTAATTCTTCCAACTTCTTACAACATCTTCAAATTTCTACCTGCTCTTTCTAGTTTCATCTAACTTCTCCTGATTTCTTTCAATAGTGATACATTATTTGCATGCATTTTAATAATAATAATAATAATAATAATAATAATAATAATAATAATAATAATAATAATGATAATAATAATAATAATATCGAAATGGATCTTGAGCCACTACGAGTTGGGAGGGTTTACTGGGGATGTGGGGAATAAGAAAAATCAATTTTGTGAATAAAGCTTTGTAGATACCCCAATTGAAGCTAGTGTTGTCCGAAGCCACTCATAAGGAAACTTCCTATGTACTCCCTACCACATAGTTGTACTACTATGCATATTGATTAAAATTTCCAACTACTTAAAATAATAAATAGGTGTTGGAAGACTTGTTAAAATGCCAAATTAGCTAGCCACATGTCAAAATGCTCTAAGTCGGAGTCTCAAATGTAATAATAGTAAAAGAAAGGATTATTGATTCTTCTTTGATTAGATCAGGTTAGAGAAAATCTGATCAGAAACAACATTAAATATAACTACAATTAGAACATACTAGATCAGATTAGATCAGCCTTAATAAAATCATACCAGATCTTATCCCATCAGATAAAGAGAACAAATTCTACATTCGTGGTCTTCAATTTTTTAAAGTTATTCCATAATAAGAACTTTAAGAACTATGGAGTATATATAAAGAAATCATATTTGATCATATTTGGACTAAAAGTCTAATTAATTTGAATAGTGGAAGTAAATTATATTTAGAACAGAGAAAAGTAAAACATACATAGTATAAAACTTATAGAACTACTAGTACCATTCATCATAAAAAAGAAATGTCAGATTTAGCTATCACAAAATAGGATGGAAGATATTGAATTGTTATATATTAGGAACAAACCCAGTACACTGATTGCTTACAATGGTACAAAAATATTAGTATAAAATTTTGCAATCTCACTAACATTTAACGCCTATTCTTTTCAACATTTTCTTATTACTTACTCTTTTCGTCTAGAAATATTCTTCTCATTTGCGTTTTTACTGTTTCTAGACCATTAATATCTATATTTATACATAGATATATATTATTAAGATTCGATATTTCTAAATTATGTCTCATTAGAAATATATTGATATTAAATTTATATCGTAATACACTATATTTTTTCTACAAATTGTAGTCAAAATTTATAAACTTTGACCAAGAAAAATTAAATATAAAGAATATTTCTGGACAGCGGAAGTATTACTTATTCTTATTGGAATCAGCTCGGTTAAGATCTAATATGATCTGATCAGAAATATCTTTAAATATAACTACATTTAGATCAAATCATAGTAAATCAGAACATATTTCAATTAAATCAAAACTATTTAGATCAAGTTAAGAGAACAAGTTCCTAATTTCAATTTATTTCATAAAATGTTAGTGCATACTTTTGATGTACACCAAGTTGCATGCATATAGTTTTATATGGACTTGGGAGAAATAAGTGGCCCAAATTCTCATCCGTCGAAAGCCCAAATCCAAATGTCAATTTTAGTACCTCCAATTTGTAAGAAAATCCGGATGATGAGATGGTAAGATACTATGAGTATATTTGGCCCAAAATGCTCCACAAGCGAAAGCTAAAATCTATTTGTAAATTGTACTCTACTTACTAGTTACTACGAAAGCCCACATAAATGTCACTTCCTTTTGTTTTTTTTAAATTAAAATAACAAATTCATCCCAAAACACCAAAATAGGCCCTTTATGCTTAGATGTTGAAAAGATACTTACTCCAGTTGTCTTAAAATGTTCTTCCTAATTACTATTTATCTAGTCTAACTTTAATTTTTTTCTTTTACCTATTCTCATTATTTTTTGATAAAATAAAAGTCTTGTCAATTCTTATTTTATAAAATTTTTAACGTAGTTTTTAAATATATAAATTTATTTTTTAATTCTACACTTACAATCAAATTAAATAAATTGAAAATAAAGTCGGTCGAACCTCAAAAATAGAAATAGAAAACACGTTTTAGGACGGAGAGAGTAAAACAATCTAATAAGAAAATTAAAAATTGAGAAATAACACTCGCTTTTCTCATCTAAAATCGGTCCAACCCTCAATAAACCGATATGAACTGATTCAAGTTCAAATTTCAGTTCAACAATCTACCTGTTGGGTTAAGAAACCCGGGGCCTAGGTAACTAGGCGGAAGAGTATCAAACTGAGTCGAGAGTGCACAAAATATGGGGTCAAGTAGATCGGGAGTAATATTGTGCTGGTTAGAATATGATTTAGAACGTAAGTCCCCCTTCCTTTAGAAGAGAAGGGGTTTATATGCAGATTACAGCTAGGGTTCTGACCGTTGGTCCATAGTCCAACGGTCTGGGCCCACTAAGATTGGGTTGTTCACTGGCGGCGTCCAACCACATCATTAACCCTAGGACTGCTATACAAATGTAGGTTACAAGTAGGGTGGCTATAGCAACTCTGTCAGAGGCATGGCAGGGGTCTAATCGTGGGTCCCTTGATCTTGACTTCAGTCAGCTCCCTTGTCCAGGTCTGGTCTGCCGTTGCCCAGGGCCGAGGCCGAGCGCATGACCTGTCTTCGGAAGTCTCTTGGCGGAAGGCCGGCCAGGAGTGGCCCGAGGATGACCGACCCCGCCGGGGCCGAGCGCGTACCGCTGCCGAGGTGGTCTCCCCTGGTCCTTTGCATTGGTCCCGCCAAGTGGGCCTTAGTGAAGTTGGGCTGGGCCGTCTTCCTGTTCGGCTGGATACCCCCATTCCCGGGTATCCATCACTACCCAAATTTCAATTTTCATATTTTTTTCACGTTCGAGTCCTTTCCGAACGAGAAAAATCTCTAGATATTCGAAATTTTTTTTGGTACATGAAATTTTGGATCAAAATAATCTACTGCATACTCGATTTCTATAGATATCCAAAATTACATGTCAAATCAGTGGATATCCGAAATAAATTTTTATTTTTCCAGTCATTCTAAACAATTATTTGGGATGAATTATCGGACTATTACTTATTCTGATTTAAATATAACTACATTGAGATTACATGAAATTAGAAGTTATTCCAATCAGATTAGAATAATTTAGATAAAGAAAACTAATCCTTAGTAAAGGATAAACTTGTATAATTCTCGTAAACCAGTGAATCTAGTCAAATGTGAGATGAAATTAGCAATACCTAAAATTAAAGTCAAGAGTGTTTTAAGCATCAAATTAGCTTTAGGGTCTGTTTGGTACACGAAATTCAAGTCGTGCAATTAGAATGGTGGAGTTCAATTCCAATTCTGGTGTTTGGTAGCACAAAACTATGTAAATTTGGAATTGGTAGTGCAAACATTGAATTGGAATTGAAGAACTCAATTCCATCGAATTCAACTCCAATTTAATTTGAATTTCAATTCAATTACAATTTCATCAATACCGTGTACCTAACGGACCCTGAGAGTTTTATCTCAAGTGATAATTTTATAAATGTCTAAAAAAAATGAATATTCCATAGTGTCAAGGAACCAATTCAACCAAAAGCTCAAGCTTGTGGTTGTGGCCCAGGAACAGTTATTTATATTCTAACACGCCCCCCCCCCCCTCACGTGCAGGCGTAGTTTTTTTCGAGCCTTGCACGTGAAACCTTAATTTTTTTTAAATTGGGTGGCGTTGAGTTTCGAACCCGTGACCTCTTAGTTAACGAGGCTTTGATACCATGTCAAGGAACCAATTCAACTAAAAGCTCAAGCTTGTGGTTGTGGCCCAGGAACAGTTATTTATATTTTAACAAGGGTGAACAAATAAAGCATGAAAAAAAATGACTAGAGTACAAAATTTGAATTAAGTTTAGATTTTGAGCACCCTACCCACAAGGCCCATGTTTAGCAGATATCCAATTGGAATATGGAATCTCCCTCAGCAGGGAGGAAGCATCTTCCATCTCCGATTCCTCGCATCTTATCACTGATGCTTCCTAATCCGACGGTCCACCTCTCTCCTCCTTCCCCATAAATTCATCCCCCCAATTTCACTCCCAAAACTCCCTCTGTACAGAAATGGAACCCATTAATTCGTTGGCAACCCCGCTCGATAATGCTCTTGCTTTCAACAATCCCAGGCTTCCCAGCCACGGCGGCTTTCTAACGGCGCTATGGGCTTGGGCCGCCGTTCTAACCGCCGCCGTCGGCCTCTGGAGGATCAAATCCTCCGCCATGTCCGCGCAGTCCGACCCGCGCCCCGAATTCCAGAACGGGTCGTCCGATCATCCCGCGCCGCCTCGGGATATCGCGCTGTCTTCGCCGCCGCCGGCCGAGAGCTCGTGGGTTTCCGCGCCGGATTCGACCTCGGGTGAAGCTGCGACGGGCGTGAGGAAGGGGGAGAAGTTCACGGCGTATTTCGACGGCGATGACGCAGTTGACGGCAGCGCCGGGGGCGTTGACGATTTTTACAAAAACCGCAACGGAGGTGACGGTGAGGGTGACGGGATTGGGTTAGTTGACGAGTGGTATCAGATTTGGGAGGGAGCCATAGAAACGAGAAACGGAGGCGCGGGTTGGTACCGTAACCAGGATTTAACGGTGATTAACGGCAACGTGGTGAGGCTGTGGGAACGCAGCCGTAGACGGCGGTGCAGCACCGCCGCGGCGGTGGGCGTAGGATGCGTTGTTTCATGGTAAATCGGAGGTGGTATATACCATAGCCCATATAGTTAGGCAGGTAGCCATGAAGGATTTCAAAGTTAAGGTCAAGTTTGTTATAGACAACTTGACATTTTCGGTTTTGAAAATATAATTGTAAATGGTTTTAATAATACTCCATTGTTGGGAGTAATGAGTAGAAACAAAAATATATATGCAAAACTGCACCAAATAATCCCTTCTTTGGTCAAGAATCGAATTAATTCATGATCAGTGCAAACAAAAAGTGTTCCAATTAGTACTTGTTAGATGAAGTCAGAAGTTAACAAAGCACAAACTAAAACTTGTGGTCGCGTGGCTTAACTACACACGCTATTGTTACTACGGAGTATAAAACAACATTTATACCGGCGAAAGACGGCTGCGGGGAAAGAAAGAAGAACGCCGATCGCCATGTGTCATCATCTGCCAGCCCGCCGTCATTTTAACGGTACAAGTTCTACCGTTCAAATGTAATTTTTAATCCAAATAAAATTTTAATCTAAAAGACTAAAACCTTATATTACCTACTTAGATCTATGTTGAGGTTGTAAAAAATTTTAATTTTTTATTTCATCCAAAAACATATGTTGATTTAAAATAAGTAATATCAAGTTATTATTATTGATGGATACCCGGGAATGGGGGTATCCAGCCTAGCCCAACTTTGCGTAGGCCCACTTGGCGGAACCAGGACAAAGACTAGCGAAGATCGCCTCGGCAGTACTGCGCACTCGGCCCCGGCAGGGTTGGTCATCCTCGGAGGAACTACGGCCGGCCCTCCATCCAGAGGCTACCGAAGGCAGGTCAGGCGCTCGGCCTCGGCCACGAGCAGCGGCGGACCAGACCTAGACGAGGGAGCTGGCTTAGTCAAGATCAAGGGGCCCACGATTAGACTCCTGCCATGCCTCTGGCAGAGTTGCTATAGCCACCCTATTTGTAACCTACTTTGTGTAGCAGTCCTAGGGTTAATCATGTGGTTGGACGCCGCCAGTGAACAACCCAATCTTAGTGGGCCCAGACCGTTGGATTACGGACCAACGGTCGGAACCCCAGTTGTAGCTTGTATATAAATCTCTTCCCTTCTACGGGAAGGGGGACTTACGTTCTAACTGATATTCCAACTGGTATAATATCACTCTCAATTTACTTGACCCCTCATACTTTGTGCGCTCGTACTTAGTTCGATATTCATCCGCCTAGTTACCTAGGCCCCCGGGTTCCATAACCCAACAATTATATTTGTGCAATTTTTCATAATTTATTGCTTATTTTTTTGATTTATCATATTCATGGATCAGAAACTCTAATTTTGTAGAGAAATGAGAACGAACGTCCGTCCGAGACCACTTGTCCTTGATGTACTTATTTTTGCACCCAGTGAACATCGTAGTGATAGGGTTTTGCAGGGCCGGGAGCTCGCAAACGTGCAAGTGAAGTGTGTAATTTTTTTGGTAGCTTGATGGCACCTACTTGTACGAGAAGTATATGAGAGTCTTGTTACTCATTATAGCAATGAAGGCAGATCACAATATTTTTCTGTTAGCTTATTCCCTTGTTAACAAAGAAAATTGGGATTGTTGGAGCTAGTTCATGTTGCATTTAATGCGTCATGTAGTACTCATTCACATGCGAGTGTGTAAACTTTATGAATAGCACTAAGGGATTAATGTAGCTTTCAATATAGTCCCCCAGTTAACAGAACAATGTGTCACCCAAAGATTTTATCTGTGGCACCTAAAAAATCAGAAGAAGTTCAATAGCAAGAAGTTGAAGGTCTTGATGTGTCATGCAACCAGTACCTCCAATGTCTATGAATTTTGAAGAAAATAATAAGAGGGAAAATATTCTGTATATTGAATTGTTCTGCTAAGTACAAGGAGTTTCTCCTTTATTTATAGGAGAGGATAAAGACCAAAACACAAAAGGAATTCTATTCCTACAAGGAAACAAATCACTAAATATGAACAAGGAAACAAATCAAGAGCAATCCCACTTAGAATGGGATTTGCTCTCCTTCTTGCCGTGTGGTCCAAGGAGCACCGCCCAACACCCCCCCTCAAGCTGGAGCATGCGGATTCTGGATGCCCAGTTTGGACAGCAAATGGGAAAATGGAGCGGAAGCCAAAGCCTTTGTAAAGAGATCTGTCGGTTGTTCATTGGTGGAGATGTGGCGAGTACACAAAACACCTCGTTGGATTTCGTCACGCACAAAGTGGCAATCAATTTCAATGTGTTTCGTACGCTCATGGAAGACAGGATTAGCTACAATATGGAGGGCTGCCTGATTATCACAAAACAACCGCATGGGTTGTTTGTGACGCACACCAAGGGAGAAAAGCAGGGATTTCAGCCATTTTAGTTCACAAACAGTGGTTGCCATAGCCCTGTATTCGGCCTCAGCCGAAGATCGGGAAACGACACTTTGTTTCTTTGTTCGCCAAGAGACCGGAGAATCGCCAAGAGTGATAAAATAACCAGTAACAGAACGTCGAGTCAAGGGACACCCAGCCCAATCAGAGTCACAGAAAGCTTTAAGGGTAAGATCACTCTGTACTGGAAGAAACAATCCTTGCCCGGGACAGGCCTTGATGTACCGTAGAACCTGGGTCGCACCGTCCCAGTGTTCCTGACGCGGCTCCCCCATGAATTGAGACAACACATGAACTGCATATGCCAAGTCAGGACGACTGATCGTGAGATAGATGAGGCGCCCTACAAGTCTGCGATAACGTTCTGGATTAGTGAGAAGTGGGCCACGTGCTAGAGCCAGTCGTTGGTTCTGAGGAAGAGGAGTAGAAGCCGGTCGAGCACCCAGAAATCCAGTTTCACAAAGTATATCAAGAGCATATTTGCGCTGGCAGATGAATATCCCTTTCGAATTTCGAGCAACCTCTACGCCCAAAAAATATTTTAAAAGACCAAGATCTTTCATATGGAAGCAATCAGAGAGATACCGTTTAAATTTGCCAATGAATTCTTCATTATTTCCAGCTATCACGAGATCATCCACATATACCAGCACACGGAGCTCGATGGATCCGCGCAGAAGAGTAAACAGAGAGTAATCAGCCTTGGATTGGTGGAACCCAAAATGTTTTAACGCAGAGGTGAGTTTGGCAAACCAACACCGTGGAGCCTGACGAAGACCATAGAGGGATTTGTGAAGCCGGCAAACCAATCCTTTACCGCGAGCGTTAAACCCGGGAGGAAGAGTCATGTATAT